CCTCAAGTTGCGCCAGGGGAGGTTTAGATTGGATATTAGGAAAAATGTCTTCACTGAAAGGGTTGTCAAGCATTGGAACGGGGCTGCCCAGGGAAGTGGTTGAGTCACCATCCCTGGAGGTATTTAAAAGACATGTAGATGTGGTGCTTAGGGACATGGTTTGGTGGTGGACTGGCAGTGCTAGGTTAACGGTGGACTTGATGATCTTAAGGGTCTTTGCCAACCTAAATGATTCTATGATCCTATGATTCACATAGTGTTGGTAGACACCAGTGTAAATATTACACAGTTCTAGGAAAGGAAAACTGCCCCGCATCTGAACTAGGTTTTACATGCATTTTCTCATGTACGTACAGCTTTCTATTTCCAGAGTACAGTTTTGTTCATCTAATGGGTATCTTCTCAAGTCCATCATACAAGCTGCAGTGGTTGTGATTCTGAAATACAAACATCAAATAGAATTACTGTATAGCCAGTAATCCAGGTTTTGTTGTTGTTATTTATTTTTCAAAGTGAGAACTCTCTGAAGAATAGCTTACAATAATTGAGAATCTGGTCCATAGTTTTACATGGAGCAGCAGCATAATACAACAGTGGTTACACTGACTGCAAAGGAACAACTGACTGTGACTTATCCTTATGCAACCAGTCCCTTTGGGGTTCAATGGACCTATCCGCATACACAAATATTACACAAACATTTGCTGAGATTAAAAAATATGACTTTATATCAGAAAATGTGAAGCAAAAAAAGTCTGCTACAAATGTCAAAATGATTAGAGCTGTGTGAATAACTGATTCCTCGGTTTTGCGGCAGCTCTAGAAAAAACCTGAAATGTTGAAACAATGTCCTAAGTTCAGCAAAAGGCTTAATTTCGAGGTTGAGTATATTTCTCTTGTTTCCAAAAGTAAATTAAAGAGGATTTTGTAATGAAGCGCCATACTGAATTTTAAATTTTCTCCCCAAATAACAATATATTTTTGCTTCTCTATTTCCAATGCAGGCAATTTAGCACACTAAGGATTAATTTGCAGAACATTTCACTATTGATGAATCTGCATTTTTCATCAAGCTCTTGCATATCAGGAGTGTCAAGAAAACACATGCACAACCAAAACAATTGTATTAACAGCTTCACACAGCATTGGTACTTTATTTTTAAATTAATGGATTTATATATTTGTACTAACTTTTAGATCATATGCTTTTAGATTAATCATATGCTCATGATTAATCTTCAGTGTATTTCAGTGTTTTGCTGAATCACAGCCTTCATCAAGAGTATTGATGTACATTATTATGCATAATCTTCTTTATAATGGCTTCATATAAATGTCACATTTAAATTCTCTTCTGGGCCTGACTAGGTTAGTCAGGCCCAGAAGAGAATCTTTGTATCAGTCTTCTGATACAAAGAAGAGATGGACCTTGTACACAGTTAGTTCCTAAACAAATAATATTCTGGTCATAATCTATGCTAATAAAAGAAGAGGGGAAATGCCTTAAATGTACCTCTAAAAGCTGGAACCCTCAATGTTAAGGTATTGTCCATGTGTTTTCTCCATTTTGAAACTTTCTCTTTAATCCCTTAACGTTCTGAAATTACAGTCTTCTAATCTGGTAAACTACTTTAAAATTCAGGGGCAACATTTCAATAGGAGAAAAGTAGTTAGGTGCCTTTCTTCAACTCTTTCACACTAAAGGAAACCTGCTGTTACTATTATGAATGCCCTATCCAATCTCCCAAAAAAGGAACAAAAGAAAGCTTATCCTTAGCATATAGGTTATTTCAGACCGTTAACCACATAATATCCAAAGGAAGGGATTAAGACCATTACAACGATCTCATAGGACAACAGAGGCCACCCTTCTCTGACTGAGAAGGTGCTTTTGCAAGAAAATATTAGAATTTCTTTGCACAGGGAGAGACAGTTGTATGAGCACAAAGGCAATGGATGAGCTAGGAGAGGAAAAAGCTCAAGGATCTGTCACTCAGCATATCTTCTCACTTGTGTTCCTACCAGTACCCAGTGAGAAATGCACACAGCTGATCTTTGTCATTCCCAGCCTTATCTATGCCATGATCATGTCTTTGCCACTGCTGTTCACTCTGGGTGTCCTCTGAATACCCTTATGTTAGTCCCACAGACTTTCAGGTACCGAGTATTGTGTAAGAGGAGGATACTTAAGTCAACCTTCTTCCAGCTGCCTGCTGGGAGATGCTCTGGTTCCTCTGTTAACACACGTCCCAGTGGGCAGGAATAGTTTACAAACAGCAATTCCTCAGCTGCTCTGCAGTTTAGGGGGACGTCTTCTCTGCAGTCAACATTTGCAGTGCCCTTCTGGACTCTCAAGCACGGTGCTAGACACAGGGCTATTAATTATGGAGATGAATGTCTCCTCAATATGATGACTACTAGCAGCTCTAGCTAACCATATAAAACTAGGACCTTTCACCTCTAAGCCTAGAGTCTTAGAGGAGAAAACTTACATCTTAAATCTGTGATCATTGATGAACATTTTAAATGACAAGGTCTTAGCATCGATCAGCTTTACAAAGCCATACAGATTGTGCAATCAAATGATGTTGCTCCTGAGTCAACTGGGAACTGTGCTCAAAGTAAAACAAGCAGGCACACTTGGACATTGCTGCTATGAGGTTTCTATCCCATGCTTCAGTACGTTCACCAACGCTAACCTAGGGCTCATGTAAGATCCTGCAGCAGAATCCACATGAGCTAAGTTGATACTAGAGGGAGTGTGGTACCAGGACCTGAACTATCATGTTGCATAATCAGCTTTAAATGCCAGCCATACAGAAAACATGCACTTACAAATTATTAATTTGACAGAATTATTGAAAATTATGCAGCTGGCAAACTTGTATTCAACCTACTAATTGCCTTATGACTTTTTAAGGAATGTATTTTTATTTTGGCCTGTTCACATACCATAGTGGTTCTGTGTCACAAGTTCCAGTATGAGAAACTGCACATTCTAGCTCAAGTAACTTTTTACACCACAGCAAAATGTATGTTTTTAATTTCATAAATATCTACTACAAAAGAAGATACTGCTGGATATAGATAGAAACAGATTTATCCCATTTACTCAAGGTAAGTTGAGTGCTCAGAGGTCCCTCCTGAATGAACGTTCAAGCAACCAAATTTAACTTGCACAAATGCTCACCAAAAGCAAATGTTAATTGCTCAGACTTGTGCATGATCCCGAGAAGAGCAGGTTTATTTTTTACGGGATGGAATGCTGGTGACACAGCAGGACAACGAGGTTTCAAGAACTCATCATCACAGCAGTGACAGAGAAACAATTATGAGCCAGACAAAGATAAAGCGGTACACAGACACACATACATTTTGGGTGAAAGCAATACACAAAGGAAATATTTTTAATTGTTTAAAATTCCATACTCCAGTTATCTGTCCTCTGGATATAGCTTCTCTTACCCTCCTCTGCTACTTTATTACCGGGCAGATTGCCTTTGATTATATTGCTATATTGTATAGAAACCCCACCTGTGATGTGCTGGGAGGTGCTGCACAAACAACTGACAGAAGGATATTTTCTGTGCCCCAAAAGTTTACAATATAAATCAGTGTAAGCAATATAAATACTTCTTATGTGACTAGGTCACAGTCCTGATGGCTAATTTGATCCTCTTTTTATTTTGATACAGAAATACATTCATCCAAAAAAGAACAGAAATAAGCGCAGTTACCTTGTCTGACCGATCACAGCTAACCTTTTCACCTTGCAAACATCCATCATGTTTTATATACGGGTGATAGCTACATGAGTCCTTTCAGATAAAATACATATATTCCTCCATTCTATTTATTTATAACATGCAGTATTGTACTGCCTGAGAACAAGGCAGTATGTATGGCAAATGCACAAGCAGTCGGAAAGACTCTGTTTTTGATCCCCAGTCTATAATGTCATTATTTCTTTTTTGGTGCATTATGAAAAAAAGCTGTGGTACCATCATATGTCTTGCATATTGTTCTGAACAAGGTGGAACAAAGTCAGTATCGTGCCCAAAGAAAAAGATTCCCAGAAATGGGTTGAACTTCAAAAAGCTACTGTCCCATTCCCCCACTCTCATAGACTTCTGCTGCGGTAGCAAACTGCTTTCTCTGAAGTAGAGAGAAACCTTGGATACTGAAGGTCAAGTGTTTTCAAAACTATGATAAATTCTATATTGTTCGGAAGAGAACATAGAGCCAGTGTGGCCTCGGGATCACTTTCGTTATATATTTTTTGAGGAACTACTTTGCTCCGTGTATATTCTATGATCAGTTGCAACCCTCCAAAATTTCCCCTATTATTCTCAGTGACCCTGTGTTTTGTGACACAAAAAACTCCAGGTTCTGGTCTCAGCCCACAGGAGGAATCATTGTCTCCAGACTGTGGCTTGAGGCCAATGCCATCGGGATGCTCTGAAGCCACAACACAAGAAGATAGGCCAGCGGTAGAGCAACACAAAGCTCAAGTCTTTGAATCAATGGAGCTAAGGCTCAGATATTTTCGTCCTTCTGATCACAATGTCCTATATTTTGCCAAGATTTAATTTCAGGCAGTTATCCTTCATTAAGTAACTCAGCTGCTTCACCCCATGGATATCTGACTCTGGATATTGCGTGCTTTCAGAGGAAAGAAGTGTGCCGCACATGAGCTGCTGGTGAAATCCCTGCTAAGCAAATACTATCAAGTGAAATGCAATCTGCTTGTGGATATTTACGTTTCGCAGAAGAGGAAGCTAACTTGTTCAAATACACTATTTTATGACAGATAATCCTCACCTGAATGACTCCAAATGTTTTTAGAGTGTGACAGAAAGACCTCTATACATTATTACAATCACAAGAGTTCTAATCTCCATCACTTTTTTATTACATTGCTTGTGGGCATGGTTCTTGAGATAAAGGAAACAAAAATATCTTGCATTATTTTTTGACATGTAACTACTTGTGAAAAGAATCCTAAACCTGCAGTGTTCCATACTGGGTCAATAGCATGCGAGATGAAAGCCTTCTTTTGCTAAAAATAGTTAATTATAGAGACAACATTTCCTGAACATCCTAAACGTCTTTCAAGTTTCATAACAGGCTGAGTCTGTTTTTAATTTGTCTAGAAAGATTCATCCAATTATAGTCCATACATGATATGCAATACAAGTTAAAGAGGTGAGAGGCCAAGACCCAAGTCATTTAAAAAGTTCAACTGTTGATAAAAAACACAAACAGGTAAATTAGTCATATAATCCACCTGCACCACTTTTCAGATCTCATTCATTTTTATACTAGGGACTCTTTATCCTGCACTATGTATGTGCAGCAGTCTTGAGTATTATCTATGCTTAAAAATACAAGAAACTTCTGATGATAGAAATGGAGCTTTCACTGGCAAAGACTTGTTTTGCTGGTACAGTTTAAACCACTGGAGCAAATGGCATAACCTGTCCAAAGAAAGCAACTTTTTGATACTACTGAGTCTTCCATTAAGATTTTTGCTAGTGTAATTATGTTTACCAAGGGAAGGATTTTTCAGCATTCCTAACCATAAAAGTGTTGACAGAAAACAAAGAAAACACAGGTCCAGCCTAAAATATGTAGAAAGTAGGATAACGTAAGGTCACTTTGTACCTCTGGTTTGAAATATAACACACTGAAGTGCCGATCCCTGTTTGAAGAAATCACTGAAGGTACCCATAGTCACGGTCTTGACTGTGGATGACTCCATTCAACCGAGGCTGCTTGCGGCTTTTTCTTTATAGACTACAGTCACATCAAGAGACAACATAAGCACCAACGTTCAATCTTACTGCCTGTATTTTGGACAAAAGTTTCAGGTTTACAATTAATGCTTGCCTTTCTGCTTCCTATAGCCACCGGGCTTTCCAGAGATATGATGACTCTACAGAAGCAGATAAAACCTGCCGAAGGTGCTTCTGGCAAAATTAAGAAACATTGAGAGTGTAATTTGTTTTCTATGGGCATCTTTCCGAGTTACAGGGAAGGTTACATAATACACTACCCAATGTTTGTAATAACCTTGTACCAGGAAACAAATATCAACAATACATAATGACAGTGATTAAACCTTCATCATGGAAGTACAGACCTGAGGCCGTAAAGCACCGTTCCGTCTGGGTGAAGGCGAATCATTCGATTCTTCACGGTAACGCCATGCACAAATGATTTCTTGTCATTTAAGAAGTAAGTGTCAGGCACCCAGAGTTGATCGGCCACTCGGTTATCAAGCGTGAGGTTGAGAGGTATGCCAGCGTAAGCCAGCCTCTTATCTCTCCAGTACTGTTGAAAATACATAGTCAAAGTGTAATCCTGGTGAGGAAAAAAAGAGAAGCACAACAGTCAATCATACTTGGCGCAACTAGAAAAATATTTTTTTTCCCTGTCACTAGCTTATTTTGCTGTTGGCTTACTTTAATTTTAAATATTTTTTTGAAAAAAAAAAAGGCTTAATAAAAACATTAAATACTCCTATCACTTATTAAATAATTCTAATAATTCAAGTATCACTCTAGTCTAAGGGAGCATTTAAAATCTTAAGAAATTAAGCTATTATTGGTATGTTTTGTCCTGCTCCTCCATTTCTTTCATTTAGTCCCCCTGACAACTACCCGATATGAGGTTTGTGGAATGATAAACGAGGTAATAGGTAAATACTGCCATCTTCCCCATTTTTAAAACTGATAGATGAATGGAAAAACATTCACAGTATTTTGAAGTAGTTTGCAAAATTGTATCTGAAAAATAAGCTGCAAAGATGTTGTCCATACATGTGCCTTTCTGTGAGACTGCATCTTGCAGTGACATAAAGATTTTCTCATCAACAGGCTACATCGGTAGTTAGAAGAACAGTAAATTGCAGTAAAATCAATGTTTTGTTTTCATAACTTTGTCAGTTAAGGTTCATGGTGTCTGCTAACAGCTGTGAACACTAACATAAGAGCCTAAACATGGATACAGAAGTCTAAACCATCCATTTTAGAATACTTTATTTCATTTCAGAATTGCTAACTTGACTCGGTCATGTCGTAATAATGTTATATCAAAACACTTCGAAAGTCTTAGACAATAGGCCTCATTCATTAACTTCATGGTATTATTAAAACAAAGTAAGATACGGGAACATTTTGAAGTTAAGTGACAACTAAATTGAAAAAAAAACCACATACAAAATAGAAAAATTTCCTGTTAGGAAAGAAAAACCTTTGTCTTTTCTTTCTCTCATAACTTTCAAAGTGTGGAAGGACATTTTCATTTTTAGAAAGCCTGTTTTTATGCATGAAATAAAAAAGGTGAACATCTGAAAATAATGCTTTCTTATATATGGAAATTAATGTTTAGAATTAAAGAAAACACTGGTTTTAGGTGTGATAATATTGCCGTATTTAACAATGAAAAAAAATGAGATGGTAAGTACAGGCCATTAAAACTCTGATTTTCAAATTACAGAAGTGCTCTAAACGATAAAACTCTTCATGAAACTCTTCACAAAACACTAAGAAATTTATGTGATCTCCAAACACATTTAAGTATTTAGCAGCAGGTGTGCAAGCCACAGGATACCTACATTTGCATCTGGTTCTACAAGCTGATGATGCAAAACCCCTCAGGCTTGCTGCTTGTTTGGGAAAAGGATGCTCAGGCTTTCTAAGTACGGCTGTTGGGAACGGTCCATTCTTGTAATGGGTTTCGTGTGGAGACAACCCAGTTTCGGGCACTGATCCTGCCCTGCTTCTCTCAAGCCCTACAGCCTTTCCTTGAAATCAAATGAAACTTGAGCACGCCTTTCACACTCAGAGCCTTTGCGTTTTTTATTCAGTGATTCATTCTCTTTAATGAGGGAGCTGCCATAGCTTTAAGAAATCAATTTTAATTGCTTAGAAAAATAAATCATTATAGATATCAAGGACAAGTTGTTCCTGTTTTAGGAAACGAATAGGAGACCTTTGGAAACAAAAGGGCCCGGTGATGGGAGAAAGGAGCCCATGTGGAACTGCCTGGAAGGAAGCTCATTCTTCAAAACTCAAATCCAACACGACTGCTCAGGAGAATGCACTCCGACCTCTTGGTCGGAAGCTTTCTTCGGTGGGACTAATCATCCCTGCTCATCGCTGAACGAGGTACATGCTACACTGGGTGCAGCTGCCTCGCTCCCACTAGCACGTCAGGAAGACTGCATCTCTCCTCACGTTCTCCACAACCGATTTTCTGACACTGATGCATTAGAACGAATATCCTCTACCAGCTCCGTTTCGCCTTAATTAAAGTTTGCTTCTATTAATGTTCAAAATCTGCTATGTGTTTGCCTTCTATAACGGTTTCTATAATGTCAAGAAATTGGGGATTATAAAAGCTGTGGACACATGAGCAGTACACCAAAAGCTCACTATGTATAAATGCACAATACATGCACAAAATAATGCAAAACAGAAATAAAGAGATGGGGTGGCACTGCACAGCATTGAAAGAAGTGAACCAGCGAGCCCTAAAATATAAGAGAAGCAGTACATGTGAGCAAAAGAGAGCTTTAGGCTAGGCTCCTTTTTCCTTTGGCTTGAGATAAAATACACGTTAACAGCTAACGAATGGAGTAATTAACTAGCGAAGTAAAACATATGTAACAACACAAGCAGTAACAGTCTGCCATTTTATTTGTTTATTTAACTAAAATTTACTATGGCAGGGAACAACAGAGAAAAAAGTTTACAAATTGCACACAGAAACAGCCACATTCAGCAAACATCAAGAACTTTCAGTGTCTGGACTGAAAGACAAACTTCCGAAATACATCCTCTAATCAGGGTACAAATTTCATTAGTGCTTTCTCAATTAACCTTCACTTCTTATTTCGCCTTAACTTTAAATTAACCCCCCCCCCATCTGTACGTCTTCTAATGTATATGACTGTATTTGCATGTCTTGAAAGCAATGGTACCCCGAAAAGTTATTTAAAAAAAAAAAGTACATTATTGCACGCAAAGTATCAGCCCATTCCCAGTTCTTCGCTTGGTATCTACTAAGGAAAATGCTCACGCAGCATCTTCTGCAACAGCAATACACTATCCAGATGCACTGACACATCTGCCTAACCCCACTCTCTTCACTTTGAACAACAGACATGGCAGAAATAGAGTGCCCAAGACTACCACACACCTTGAAGGATCACTGTACATTTGTGTTTTGTCAGCCTGGCCTGCCCTGAAGATGTCAGGATAGAAAGAAAGAATATGAACCATGATTGTTCATCATCACACTTTTTCTGATAAGCTCAAAGCAAAAAGCAGCAGCAAACTCATATTAGAACTGCACTGAAACTGCTTGGTTGTGCAAGGAGCGATAAAATGAGCAGGAAAGGCCAGTCCCTTAGGGTGGCTCTACCAAAGTCACCACCAGCAGAAACTAAGCTTATTAAAACCCATGAGGATGTCAGCTCTCATTCTTTGATTAGCTAATTTGCTAGGCTTTGTACCCATAAAGGAAGTTTTCCCCTTTTCTATACTCCAGAGGAAAATGCAAAACTGGTTTGATTGTGGACTGGAAAAAATGCACTAGGTATTTGTCGGGTAAAATGAGAAAATGGACTTCTACCCCCGGGTAAGTAGCCTACAAAGTTTATTAAGGGCTACCTTCCTCCAGGGGAGCTTATGATGACTAGCTCTGTTATAGAGGTCAAGAGAGTAGATGTCTGAAGCTAGAAGAGATTAATCCCACTACAGTTAGGGTGCTATTATGTGTCAAAGATGACGCAGAGCTGCCAGCTTTAGGAAATTCTAACTACCGCACAGAGCAGTGGACAATTTCCTCAGCAGCAAAGGCCTCCATAAATCATATTTTTTTCCCCATACAATACCATGCCACATCCAAGGTCCCCCTTTCCCCTCTCCAGTTCCTCACAGTAATAGATGCTTCAGGTCGAGAATGGTAACAAAATCACTCAAAGCCCTGACAGAAAGACAAACACGGTGCTTCTGAAGTACAGAGAAATGTCCTCAAAACGGGAGAAGCTGGACTGCACAGGCAGCATGTGCTTTCTTCTGTGTATGCAAAGACCATGGAACATCCTACAAGGACAAAGAACGGTGACAAGCATCCCCGACTTTCTAACGCTGCAGCAATGCCACTAATGTAAGGAAAGGCACACAGAAAGGTGTGCTGGTGTTTTTTCAACACAGTTTTCCCTGGGGGGGAAAAAATAAAAGAAAAAACTCAAATAGTAGATAATACTTGGGAAGGAATTTAGATACAACGGTAAAGAGGCCTATATCGCAACTTAAATAGAGCATAATGTATCTGTATTCTTCATGTGTATTATCTGTGATTTCAAAACATGTTAAGCAAGAATTACAGAGACTCACAATTATTATATGGTGCTAATCGCACACAAAAATTTTTTTAAGTGTTTTCTACATGATATTTGTCTCTTCACAGACTGAACATACCATGTAGGAAGCACAACTATGATTCAACTACAACGCCGCTTCAGACAGGCAGAATGTATTATAGTATGCTACTGTACAGTACCTAATGTGTTGTCTATAGGACTAATGAACAATAAATACTAATATGCTGTAATCGTAAAAGCAAACAATAGTTTGTTTTCTATTACAGGGTTTCTAATCTTTAGCTTTTTTCTCCTGCACTCCATAAAAAGGAAAGAAAATTTTTAAAATATGGTTTGTTCATCAAAATAAAATCCACAGCCTTATAGCAGCGATAATGCTCTAAAATTGACTATCACTGTTTACATTCTTAGTGTGTTATGTATCAAGGAAGTTAAAGTTTTCCATTAGCTGTAAAAATGTTGTATTTCTTCAAAATGACTGCTAGATAGAACACAATAATTAATAATTATGATCGAATACTGTTAATATGGCAGTTAATATTAATGCAAAATAAATAAATATATTGGAAATTACTGGAAATATTGGAAAAAGTTATACAAAAAACAACTATTCCACTGCTTGGGAGGACAGCCTTGTATCTACCTGAAACGCAGATTCCTATTTTAGGTTTGCATTTGGATGTAAATTCACATCCTGGTTTTCTTGACCAACAGACAAATGTGATTATTACCATCGGCTTTTGGATTATTTATTTTTGATGAGTTAATAAAGTAAATACTTATTCAGTTGATAAACAGATATGTTGAAAATCCATGCCTTAGTCTCCATATAACTTCAAGGTCCCTTCCCTCACCTTCCACATAATTTCAAAAATTAGATATGGCTGCTGTAGTATAAGGAGCTGTTTCTGAAGCATTGATGATTGAGTTACATTCTTCCCAATAAGCACAAAGTGAGTTGCAA